TTCCCTAGAGCAATATCATACTAAATAGCCTACTAATTATTTTACAACAATTCAGCCTATTTTTATCTTTAAGCAATATATAATAATAATTCGTTTAATGAAATGCTGCTATAAACTCATTTCTCATGCATAACCAATCTGCATTGCTAAACTTGATTCATAGGCCACCTGCTGGACAACAGGCTAAACTGCGCGTATATTTGTCAAAAATCTAGCGAAATATTAGGCTGTTTGTTAATATCATACTAGCATGCTGCTATTTCTGCATTGTGCCATCCAAAGTTTCTGTATGCAAATAAGGACCTAGTACTTAAAATAAGAATCTAGTAATGTATCCCACAATGCAATGTGTGTCATATAGGCTACTTGACCCTCCGTTTGAATTGTGCTAAAATAAATAAAATTTTAGTCACAAATGAGAGGGTTTTGTTTTTCAATAGTAGGCAATATGCCGTATTTGTGCTATACGCCAACATTCAGCCTCAGGCCATTGAACTAGGACACTTGCTGAAACTGAAATGTGGATTTATGCTAGTGTTATAAAGTATACTGTAACCATTTCTGATTCCTTGGCTGTTTCACTTTTGGTTCTGGACTGTGAAAGTGGTTGAATATGACTCTTCGTTCTATGTTAAGATCTATGAGAAACCGTCTAGCAGCTTCAATCTGGCAGACCACAGCTTAACAGAAACATGTTGTGTCTCAGGAGAAAATGAGTCTTTTACAATGGCACACCTCCCCAGACAAGCCGCATGATCTGAAGCCTTGTGTTACAGTTGTGAAAGTAGTGATGCATCAAGTTGTTAAAGCTTTAGTGGTTTGTTCAAATCAAGCAAGTAACATTACATTTTTTTAAATAATATTTCAGCAGTAAAGATGTGTGATAAGAATCAGAAGTGCGATTCAGGAATCTTTTGAATTGATTCTTTTCAATGAATTGGGAAATAATGACTCTTTTGAATCATTTCTTTTGACTCTTAACTCTTGAATGCTCTTATACACTCTTAAAAATAAAGGATCTGTATTGGCATCAATGGTCCCATGAAGGACCTTTAACATCCGTGGAACCTTTCCGTTGCACAAAAAGTTGTTTTATAGTGAATTTAAAAAAAAAAGTTATTTTAAGAACTGTTCACTGGAAGATACTTGGGGAACCAAAAAGGATTCTTCTATAGGAGGATCTTTGTTGACATCTTTGTACGCATGTGCGAGTGGTTGTGTGGTACGGAGCCCCCCTAGTCCCACTTTGGCAAAAAAAAAAAAAAAAAAGATACTATCTCGTGGCCTCAAGATAGTAACTCGTGGCCTCAAGGTAGTAACTCGTGGCCTCAAGATAGTAACTCGTGGCCTCAAGATAGTAACTCGTGGCCTCAAGATAGTAACTCGTGGCCTCAAGATAGTAACTCGTGGCCTCAAGATAGTAACTCGTGGCCTCAAGATAGTAACTCGTGGCCTCAAGATAGTAACTCGTGGCCTCAATATACTAACTCGTAGCCTCAAGATAGTAACTCATGGCCTTAAGATTGTAACTCGTGGCCTCAAGATAGTAACTCGTAGCCTCAAGATAGTAACTCGTGGCCTCAAGATACTAACTCGTGGCCTCAAGATACTAACTCGTGGCCTCAATATACTAACTCGTGGCCTCAAGATAGTAACTCCTGGCCTCAAGATAGTAACTTGTGGCCTCAAGATAGTAACTCCTGGCCTCAAGATAGTAACTCGTGTCCTCAAGATAGTAACTCGTGGCCTCAAGATACTATTGCGTGGCCTCAAGATACTAACTCTATCTTGAGGCCAGGAGTTACTATCTTGAGGCCACGATTTACTATCTTGAGGCCACGAGTTACTATCTTGAGGCCACGAGTTACTATCTTGAGGCCACGAGTTACTATCTTGAGGCCACGAGTTACTATCTTGAGGCCACGAGTTACTATCTTGAGGCCACGATTTACTATCTTGAGGCCACGAGTTACTATCTTGAGGCCACGAGTTACTATCTTGAGGCTACGAGTTAGTATCTTGAGGCTACGAGTTAGTATCTTGAGGCCACGAGTTAGTATCTTGAGGCCACAAGATAGTTAATTTATTTTTTTTGCCAAAGTGGGACTGGGAGGCTCCATAGTGTGGCAACAAAACAAACAGTATGGTGGGCTGTAAAGACGCGGCGAGCACTTTCAAGAGAGTTAGCGGGATAAATTAAAAAAAAAACTGTTTATCAGGCCCCCAACGAGCCGTACAATCGACCACACAGCAAGAGTGAACCATCCTCTTCTCTAAATCCTCCTCCAAACGCGCAAAACAATCAAATTACAGGTAACTAGCGGTGTTTCCTGCCACACGATTCCTGTGATGCAACGCGACAAACATAAACAATGACGTCACAAAAGATCCGCCTACGTATATGGGATCACTGTGAAAACCCTTTTTGGAAACTTTTTTGTTGTTGTTGTTGTAACTTCACCTGCCTCAAACGCATGCCTCTTAAATATTATTTTATGTTGTATTTTGGCAGAATGCGGTGAGGTAATGTAACATTATTACCTTATCCCTTATTTTTGAACAAATCTCGACAACAAAGCATAGCTTCTATTTTAGCATTTTTTGAGTAGTTGTTTTGTTGTGTTTGTAGTCACACCAACTCATGTTATCTATATTTACGTGACGTCAACACAACTGTACATAAATGTCAGGAGTGTGTCTACATATCTTTCAGACAAGAAAACGCTCTTTTCCGAGAGAAAATATCCATCTTGGAGAATCAGCCGAAAGTGAAGGGCCTCTCGTTCACCTCCTTCCTCATCCTCCCCTTCCAGCGAATCACACGGCTCAAGCTTCTTGTTCAGGTGAGCGTCAGCCAATCAGACGTCTCGAATAAGCCAATCAAATAATCTGTCTCAGAAATCTGGCACTGTTTACAAATTTGAAACTCCACGAATATTGTAAATTGCTGTGAATGAATATCGATAGTTCATTTGTACATTGTTTATTGCTAATGCAGTTATCGAGCAGCGTGTTGGTAAATGTGACCTATATCAAAACGGCTTCTTTGTGTTCCAGAATATTCTGAAGAAGGTGGAGGAAAATTCTGACAGAGAAAAGACGGCCATATTGGCACATCAGGAGTTGGAAAGGGTAAGTGTGTTTTGATTTCAGGGTGTGGTAATGAGCCTTGTCATTATGTTTCATTGTCTCTGGACTTTCACCTGTCAAGCACGCCTTGCCCTGTTGTCCGCGTTACCATGGTTACCGCGCCACACCTCTCGTAGCCGCAGAAACGCCCTCAACATGACTTTAACAGCCTGATGCTAATTGTTTCCCTTTAAATATCTTAAAGCGATTATGGCTGGGATCATGTGATGTTGGAATTAAACTACTATTCAAGATCACAAACTCAAATGATTTGTTTTATGGTTACTATCATATATCCATGTGGGGTTTTGCTGTGGTTGTTTGGAAGTTCATCATCTCTGAATTAATTCACAACAATTTGCTTTTGCAAAATACTTCACGACAAAAAGTGACCACTTGATATGATAAAATGGCATACAATAAATAGAAATACAACATGTGCAAAGGTTTCTGACTACCTTTAAGTTTTAAGGCTGCTGTCATTTGGTTTGTCGTCTAATCACATGGATCAGATATGAACCGAGTCTCTCGAGCAGATATTATTCAATATAAACCTGCTGAATGTCCCAGAGGTCATCTGTGGTTTGTGCGTTTATAAAGATTAGTTAAATCTTTGTAAGTAAACAGCTTATACTTGAACTCCTAGTTGGGGTGAAACTTGTAAGTGTTATTTAGTCAAACTTGTTCTTGTGTGTGGGAGTTTGTTATTTTAACAGTGATGAGAACATTTCAGAGGAAATAGTAAA